ATGAACACCTACTGTGTTCTAGGCCCAGTATTGGCCTGGCATTTGATGTCCAGAAGCCACATTGACTCATCTCACTAGCTCACCAATGGGAGGTCGTACCACAGAGTGAGAAACAAGCCTCTGGGTCAGCCTGCCTGTCTTCCAATTCTGACCTCATTGTTTGCTTGCTGTGGGATGCTGAGCAAATCACTTGATCCCTCTGAGCCTCAGTTTCCCCATATGTGGAACGAGTCTATTAGTACCCGCCTTGTAGTGCTGCTGTGAAGATGCAGTGAGACTTTGTATGTCAATTGCACATATATGTCTGATGCTAAGTAAGCCCACAATACATCCTTATGGTGATGGTGTGATAATCAGTGTTCATATCTTATATATGACGAGACTGAGTCTCCAGGAAGTTAGGGGTTGATGTTTAAAGTCACAGCCCCACTAAATACTGAAGCCAGAATTGGACTCATTCTCTTTGGCTCAAGTTCCTAAGTCTGTGCATATCTATCACACAGCCTCTCAAAGGGTAGAATTCTGCCTTTTGTGAACACCCCCCACAGCTGGCAGGTAGTTGACAGTCAGAAAGCAAGCACTAAATAATTGTTCCTAATATCTTAAGTTTTGCTGTCTTATCCAAACATAGTCTCAATTTACTATGTGTTCCCCTTAGACTAATCACTTTCTTCCCCTGGTGACTGAGACTGGAATCCCCCACCTCCTTCCCTGGCTCCTTTGGCAGATGAGGCCAGAGAGACAGGGAGGACCCCAGTTATTGACTGAGATAATAATCCCCCAGTAGCACCAGACAGCCCAAGACAGGGATCCACAGTCTCAGCCCAAAACCCCCATCACAATGTTAGGTACGTGGTTTGGGTCTGCATTTTGACTATGAGCTTTCATCCTGTCCGTTGTGAGGTTTGTGATTGCTAATTGCAAAAGTAATACATGATAATTGTGGAAATTTTGGCAAATACAGAAAAACCCAAAAAAGAAGAGGGACTCTGCTTTGAATCCACAATGGCCATAGGGTTGATTTGACTGTGATTGGTCCACATGCATCTTGTCTGAATTCTGAAGTCAAAGACTCAAGTTCAAGACAAATACTGTGGTGCATGCATGTGAAGGAAGAAAGCATGAGGCCCAGCTGAATTAAATTCCACCATGGAACCAGCAGTGGTCTAGGCACCTCCAAGGAGAAGGAGATGAGGACCTTCGTTCCACTGGATCTGGTTTTGCTTGGAGTGACATAATGAAAGAAGAATTGGTTCTAAATGATACATTGGAGAAAAATGAATACTCACGGTCACTGAGTTCTCAGGTATTGGTGATTTTGGTGCACCATGAAGATGTTTTCAAAATTTTTCATCAACTTTAAGCATTTTAGTGCATTGTTTATGTTGAAAGGGGAAATTTGTTTTTCATTTGGGGGGGTTATCTCTAGTGTATTGAAACACCTACTTTTCCTATTCGGCTGCATTGGGGCAGTCGTTTCATTTCAGTGGAAATATCAATGTATGCAAGGTCGATGGGGAAACTACTCTGGGCCCGAATCCAAATCACTGCCACCCGAGAGAGAGGCTCAAACCAGTTTTGGAAGGAGAGCCAGGGTTGGAAGCACCAAGCCTCAGACAGCACAAACACTGAAGCTGCAGTAGGTGGGGTGTAAGGAACAATACGCTCTGATTCTCTTCAATGACTTCAGAGGCTTCTCTCTCTTCACACCCCACCTCGTGTCCCGTGGTGTGGGTCATTATGCCAACTGGCATTTTCCTCACCAGTATTTTCAAGCACCATTACACCAACAAAGCTCAGCCTAAGCTTGTCCCTGAAACTACAAATCACTTCAATTCTGACAGGAAGCGGGGTCCGCAATGGTAGCAAGTGATTATCGTGGCACAGTTTAGAAGATGCTAAGCAAAAGCTGCTTACATGGAAAAGGAGTGTACATTAAAATTGATGAGGACGTGGGCTAAAGATAAAGTTGGCATCACTGGCAAAAAAATTAATTTAAAAAACTTAAAGGCAAATCACTTGAAAAGCAGATTGTATTTCATTTAGAGGTTGCATTTTCATCCCGGCTTGCACAAACTTAGAGAAGCTGGAACTAGCAGATGGAAATATTTCAGTTTCAACCCACTTGCTTTTTTAGACAATTTACTTAGAATCACAGGTAAAATTTCCAAGTTCATGACAATATTGCTGAACAACCAAGGCAGGGAGAATGACTTGAAAATGAACTCCCAAATTGTTCTCCTCCAAAATAAAAATTTTAAATTCAGAAAACAAACATGCTCAAAACCTGCAAAAAAAAAAAAATCCCTTCCCTTCCCCATAGTACCTGGAAATTACTATTGCATGGAAAAACATTGACTGAAAACATTTATTTTCAACCAGTTTATAATTTCAGCTGATTTGCTGTTATCACTGATTTTTGACAAGTGTGTTTCTGACATATCACCAAATCCTCAAAGATCTCACGGTCTTGGTCTT